CTCTAAAACCTTCACTGTAACTTACAATTTTTTATATCACAATTTTCTGGTTTTAAATTACACATTTTTACAAAAGGCCATAGACGAGAAATGAAACATAGTATATTTCATTTTGTGGGATCAGGGCAAGATTGATTCGAAAAGCTCAAAACCTCATTTTCCATTGAAATATTCCTTACAAACTTTTGGTGTGTTGCTATCAATATACAGTCAAAATAATAATATAAATATTTATTTCTTATCCATTTAGACAAGATAAAAATTTTAAAACAATGAAAACGAAGATTTAATGTTGTATTTTTTTTTAAATATTTTAGTTTGAGATATTTTTCGTAACAAATGGCTACAGAATCTTATTTTCTTTATGTTAAAATTGAATTTGAGTGTATGTCCCGTTATATGTGGTCTTAATGCGTAACTAGAAATCGTTCGGACATACATTCACATAAAAAAAATTTTTAATATTTTTTAAATGCCTTAGGCTGATCATGAGGGTTAAAATGAATACAATTAATTAATTGTTAACAAGAAAGGAAAAAGAGTTGAATTTAAACAAGTTTTATACAATTATATATTTTTTCTAGATTAGCAGAATGACAATAAAAAGTTGGTTAAGTATCAAGAAAAATTATCTACCCCCAGCTCAAACCAAGCAATTTTACAAAACCTACAAATCGAGCGAAATTTCACAAAATGACTAGGTTTTCAATTGAACTATTCAATAAAAATCCACATTCTGCCAACTGAAAATATTCTCACGAATTATTAATATAATGATCATTACGTTTGTGTATGCCTTAGCTCAAAACCTAATTATATTCAATTAAAACAGTGAAAATTAATATTCTGCCAACTGAAAATATTCTCACGAATTCCAGAAGGTATCGATAAAACAGTTTATCTAGTTTTTAAATATCTAAAAAATAAAAAAATAAATTAGCCGATGTCGTGAGTTTTCCTTAACTCGTCACAGTATATGGCGGTTCCCCAAAATGAATCTTGACGGTCCACATTAACTACAGACCTACAGAAAGATACCAATAGCTACTTCTTTCTATAAAAATGATCTACAGATTGAGAAAAAAAACATATGTTTATAGTGATAAAGCTGATTTAGCCCGAGCCATCATACCTATACTTTCATGATAAACTCCAGTCCCATCCGAATCCACTTGTTTCCAGCCTTGCTTCTTCCTCGATTCCTGAAAATCCCCCTAGGCGTCTGAAAAGAAGATGGTCTCGTGATCTTCTCACCTAGAATTAAATAGGAATTGCTACCACTGGGCTGTATCTCTTCAAATCTGTTCATGTCATTATTTCTAATCTGTGCATTTTTACTAGTTGTATTGTTTATACAGTTGTAAATTTCATTAAATAAATAAAAAAAAATGTTTATAGCGATTTAGTTGGTTAATAAGAATAAAAAGGCTGCTATCTCGGTGGAATATTCCATCACAATGAACACTGAATGTCAAAACAAATGTGATCCTTGCGAATCCGTTTAACGATTTTGTACTTTAAAGATTAAAGTAATTTCAAGTATATAGAATGCTTAAGCAGATTACTGTGAAACTTTGGGGCTTAAAAGGACTTCAATAAAACAGCGACTCTCTGGGAAGGTTGGTTTTAGAAAGTCACCCCATAACGGTACAGCTGTTTACTTTAAATTGTTAATCATGGCATTAGCTTCATTCCAACTGTTTCCAAGAACAATATGTAAGCCTGTGTCTGCCAAGTTTCCCGAATCAGCTCTTGAATTATAAAAGCAAATAGTTGAATACACTCCTCTTTAAGCCTTATCATCCGAGAATAATACATCTTGTATCTTTATAGCCATAATCCTTTCAGCAACCGAAAAAAAAAAGTGATATGGCATCTCTTAACAAGAGTCGGTCATCGCATTCATAGCAGTCCGACTAATATTATCTTGATTAATAATTCTTTTTTGATTTAGCTAATCATTTATATATTAATAATTTTCTTATTGATCGCTTAAATCGAACTGTTCCACTATAGTATTTTACATAGAGTATCGCTGGTTCTTAAACACCATATAGTCGACCTAATCTATTGACATCTATTGTAGATACATGATTTATTTTATTTATTTATAATCAATCAATGGACGATTCAAAATATTCAGAAATAGGAATGATCTTGAAGTTTTGAAATAACTGCTAAGGTGGTGGTTTCGTGCCACTTCTTATTGTCTGAAATTTCAAAAATAAAATCAACTATTTTGTGAATGAAATGTAAATAAATTACCTTCATTATTCTGACACTAGTCTCCTTTTATAACAAAATATTAATGCAGAAGATAAATAAACATATTAGGGAATCCAAGAATAATTTTTGTTTGTTTTACCTTGTAAATCATTGGTCTTTTTAATTCAAATATCTATTCTCCATAATAAATTTTATTATTATTATTTAATTATATAAACTTGTATTTTAAAAAAAGGGTTAAAGGGCGAGTTAAGGCGCCTGCAAAAAAATTTAAGCAACGAGTTTAAATCCCGTTGGCGGGATTTAAAAGCAACAAAATGGTAAAAAATAAAATTAAAATAATCAATAATAAAAAAATTAAAATAAATAACTGCAGTCCCTACTCGATTGGTTAGACCACAACGGCGCGTGGGTTCGATTCCCGCATGGAAGCGTTAACGTTCCCATCCTGAGATTCACAGGTGAGCGACTCCTCTGTTTCCAACAACTTAGCTCCTGATCCTCCAGATTAGGGGTTGGATGCAGGGCCATTAATTAACTCTATCCTGCAAAAGGGTTGCCAACCATCCTAATGAAGAGGGAGTGATTAGTGATCGCGTCCGGTTATTATAAACCACGCGCTGCCTGGATATCTATACGAGTATACGAGGGCCAAACGATCACAGCTGTCGCTTGGAACAGCCCCGTAGCTGCTGGAGTACTAATGACGAAGTCAATAAGTCCTAGAGGAGTTAGAAAAAAAAATGCTAAAGCTTTTAATGGTTCGAGCTCACGCTTCAACTAAGGGCATTTGTAATCATACAGAAATTTATTGACGCTTTATGTACAATAACACAAATGAATTAAATTAAATAACAACTAAATAATAAAATATATATAATAATAATAATCTTTTATTTATTCTTGGACGAATCCCATTAGAATAATTAACACGGGCAGAAATGATGTGGGCTTTTGAGCCTCAGATATATAATAGAGACATAATAGAGAAAAAAGAAAAAAAGATATCTTCTAAATTAAATCGATTAAGAAAAAATAAATAAATGAAAGAACAATGAGATGAAAATAAACTTATAATATATATACATATTTACAGAAGTTTCTATTTACAATTTTGGAGGGACTGGATGGAAAGAAAGTGAATGAATAGGCGGGATTTAAAAGTGGAGTATTGGAGCGACGGATGTCGGGAGGGATGGAGTTCCATTAATAATATATACATCAATAATCAAAACAAAAACTTAAATACAGGCATTAAATAACTGCTGACTTATTATTACAATTCAGTATTAATTGGGCAATATTCAGACTCAGGACTAGCCACATCAGGCTGAATGCTCACCTTTACAATAAATTCAGAATCGGAAATAGTCCCATGTGTAGGTGTGGTAGGAGAGGTGTGGTACGAACATGTTCTTCAGGGTTGTCTTCTACTTGATGAGGCTAGAAGGAAGATCCTACCTGAGCCGAAATCCGTTGAAACCAAACTCTACTGGAACAATGGAGAACCACTTATTTCCTTATTTTACCCGGATGTGACAATTTAGTTGAAAGAACAAAGAAGAAGAGGAAGTTTCTATGTTTTTCTCCTAAATTAATTATCGCAATATATATATATTGCAAGGCTTCAATACCTGAACTGTGGTAGGTCTGTAGATCGATACGGGACAAATTGGATCTTGAAGATTTTGATGCGTACAGCAAGACCCGGATAGTTCCGTTCCGAACTATTGGATCCTGCGTTTTTAAGCCCAAAAATGTACTATTTTCGAGATAACGCAAGGCATAGGGTTCGCATCACACAACTTACATCTATTTGTAGTACTGTCATTGAATAAATGTCTCATTTCGTCGACTTGAGGTCTCGATGATCGTCAGAGAGGGAGGAGTTTTAATATTTATGGATAGTGTTTTTGATCGGCAAGCCATATCATCGTCAGTTTTTCCCTAAATCTAGGTTTGATAGCCACCAATTCGAGGCTTCCTTCTCCTTCAGGCGGGCAAAATAGTCCAAATCACCCCGAATAATCAGGCAAATGAAGGTTATGAAAGGAAAACAAACTTTATTTGCGGGAAAAACTAAAAATTACCCACTTTTCCTGGGTCCATGCCGTGATTATATAAAGATTACTATTTCCGTACAAACGGAAAAAAAAATCATTGAAATCGGACAATTTTTAGCAAGGACAAAGCTTATGAATTTGTAAACATGTTGGGTTCCAAAAACAAAAATGAGATTTAAATTAATTTTTGTTTGATCTTTGTCGATCATATTTAATTGCGACGATAAAGTAACATTTGATTTCTTTAACTTGATACGTTGCATTATTTTATTTACTTATTAATCTGCCATTGATAACAATATTCTGTGCGAAATTTTTCGCCACGGGCTGGCTAGTTGTATTATAATTAATTGATCCATTTAAAATATTTTAAATACAAATAAATAATGGGTTTATGTATTTAATTGACAGTTTAGACGGTGAAGTGCCCTTTGACCCTACTACAGGCACAATAGGTAGGGGCTAGCGTGGACTTCTCCTCGGTTCTCCAATTGATCCAATTGTTCTCACTAATTGTTTTCCATTAATCTTCATTCTCACCAGGCACCTTCCATTTGTTGATAAATTACCTCTTGTCTTAATCACATCGCCTTAATGCTTTTCCTCCGGTGGGTAACACTTACGGTACGAAGTAGGTGACTGTCTTTAAATGAAATCTGTGTTTAAAATTATAAAAAACAAATAGTAATATTAATTTTATACGATCAGTCAATGTTAAGGTAAGAATAAAAACAAAGTAATGAGCTTATATTGTTATTTATGCTAACGAAACTTATTGTTTAGTTTCAATTTATTCCAAAAAAAAACTTCTTGTTTGGTAGTTATTTATACTGATCAATCCTTTTTTTAGTATTATTTTGGCAATGCAATAGATTGATTCCCTTCAACTATTATAATTCAACTTTCTACTACCAGGAAGTGATTAGGCAAAAAAATGAAATATAATGAAATTTATTGTTTAGTTCTAATTTATACAAATCCAAATTTATTTGTGTTTTTGTTTATACAAACTAAAACTTTAATTTTTTATATTATTATTTTGATCATGTATGACTGAGTTTTGATGTCTATAATTTACTTATCTTTAGGTGATTTAATTTTTTATTTTACATAGTTGTTTGATTATTATTTAGTTATTATGTTACTTTTGTTAATTTTCCTAGGACTCCACCTGGACAAACGTCTAACTTGGAATCCTCATACCAGACTGAAACGACAAGAAACAGCTCGACGTTTCCGACTACTTCAACACTTACTAGACAAACGCTCTAACCTTCCAATTAATTACAAAAGACTCATTTACATGACTATAATAAGGCCTATTTGGACTTACGGAGTTGAGCTTTGGAGCTCCACTAAGCCATCGAATTCTTCTCGTATCCAATCCTTACAATCCAAAATCCTTCGTAAAATCCTCAATGCTCCTTACTTTGTTACAAATAAAATCATCCACAATGACCTTAATGTTCCTTATGTATCAGATTTATCCCAATCCAGATATCTGGCCTTCCGTAATAAACTTCATAACCATCCCAACCCTTTTGTTTCTAACCTTGCTTCATATTCAATTCCTGATAACCCTCCGAGGCATCTGAAAAGAAGATGGCCACGTGATCTCCTAATATAGACATAGACTGCTACCAATGGGTAGTTTCTCAACAAGTGTTTCATGTCATTATATCCATGTGCGAATTTACTAGATGTATTTTTTTTTTATACAGTTGTAAATATCATATAAACAAAAAAAATAAAAAAAAGTTTGTTAATTTTATGTTTTCTGTATATATGGTGTGAATGTGTTCATATCTCATCACAATTATTGTCCGTGTGACAGATTACTAAATTTCTAAATAAATAAATAAAAAAGAACTTTGATCATATTATTGACAATTGCAATTAATTTAGTTAAACTATCCATCACTTCTAGATGGAAGTGAAAAGGTAAAAAAAAATTCAATTTTTTAGGATTAATCAATGGAATAGTTAAAATAACGAAACTTAAGTTTGTATTAATTTATACAAATAAAAATCTATTGGTTCTTTTTGTTTTGTTTTTTATACTCACCAATTCGTATTGTTTTAACAACAATAAATAATTAAATGTAAAAATAACTTTTTAAAAAACTCCATGAATAATCGATAAATAAATGATAAAAAAAAATATTTTGAGTAGCAGAATAATATTTATGTTTATAAATCTTTATTACTTGTTTATTTAAATATAAATGTATAAATAGCATTCTTAAATGTATTTTACGTAATAATCTAGCAATTCGTCGCCCTAAAACCCCTACCCTACCTACCTAAATGTATTGTCCTGAGACTTCATCGAATTAGAATTACAAACACCTTTAAGGTATTTACCTACCATATTTTGTGTCCTCTTTTAACCCCTATTAAACTATAATTCGCTATAAAAATTAACGATAAACGCTGCAATCAACAATAAATTGGAATCTTATCGGAGAGGCAATTAATTAAAAAAAAAAAAAAAAGGCGTGATAATTCTGTAATTAAAAAGCCTTTTTCCCTATGCATGTCTCTAATCTGATAATTTTTATCCCGCGAAGTGGAATTGTTGGGCTTTTACAACTGGCGAGATGGGTGAAATCGTCGCTGATTTTATCAACAGATTTGTGGAACATAAAATTTAAATTGCTGTAATCTTCTTTCACAGGATTACTTTCCCATTTCTTTTTCTTCTTTACTTCAATTAGTCGTAAACTGATTTTTTTCCTCTCTTTTACATTAAGTATAATGAGGTATATAGGAAATACTGTCCAACATTTTTATTTTGTATTTATTTTTTTGTATTTTGACGTCATTATTATTGCATTATTTTTTTACTGATAAGAAAATGCTTATTTCGAAGAAAATCAGTATGACTGATGGAATAGATATTTTAAATAACAAAAAAAAATCGTGTCAGTGTTATGAAATTATCAATCGTTGTATATTTTATTCAGATATAATAAGAAGGCCTCTGATATTTTAATGGAGTAATATTATGTAAAATTAAAATTATAAAAATATTGTATAATATTGTAAAATTATAAATGCTTTATAAAGTAAAAAAAATTTAAATAATAAAGAATAAATTAAATGTTTTCATCAGATACAATTCTATCTTTATTTTATCTTCACTATTTTTTTAGAACGTCTGATATATGGGGTGTGGGTACTGAGCTAGTTGCACTCATAACTAAAAAGAATCAGGTTAAACATTTATTTGGCGTTTTGGCTAGCTAATGACCTATGTCATTTAAAATTGTGGATGACATAAATTCTTTTTATATTAAGTCGTTTGATTAAACATTTTTGCCTATCCAACATGAGAAATATGTCATAAAATCTAGTTTATATCACAACATGAAGTTTAAAAAAAAAATTACAAATTAGTTATGTTAGCTTATCATATCCGCTATGTTCTTGTCCATTTTATTTAAAAAATGTATTTATACTATTCTAAACAGCATAAAACCTATTAAAAAAATATTCTTAAGTGGCCAACGTTACTTGTATGAGACTTTACACTTAATTATATTTAGTAGCCGAAGTACATGCGCTATAATTTGAAAATAGATTTTTCCTATTTTTTTTTTTAACTTGGCTCTCATATCATTCATAAGAACAAAAATGGAGTGAAAAAAATAAATAAATTCTACTCTGGAAGGAACTTCAGCACGAAAACCAGTATTAGTGAGGAATAATTTAATAAGATATGTTCCTAGATTATTTTATGTAAGCACGCTACCGTACCGAACTGGGCGATGTTCTTTGGTTGAGTGACACCTGCTCAAATCATCAAAGACCTGCGAAATTTTCTCTTGCCATCTAACTTATGGACTTATGCCTGTTAGTTCTATAAACTCGAAACAATTACTTCGGGGTTAAACCAGGAGTTTAAGGAAAATTGCTATTCAAAATGGTTTATATATAGCATAAATTCCAAAATCTGCCACATCTGCTAACCGTTTACATCTTTTTTTTTCCAGCGTGGACGCCAGAAACCAGACGGTGGAGTCAGGCCGGCACTGGAGTGAGGAAGGGACCCTGGGCAACAGAGCCTACTTCCAGTCGAGTGGACAGCCAGCTCGACTCACCATTGAGAGTGTCAGGGACGGCGATGCTGGAATCTACCGTTGCAGAGTCGACTTCCGCAAGTCCCCTACCAGAAACACCCGGGTCAACCTCACCGTCATCAGTAAGTACCTAGTTTCTTAAATATCATTATTTGTAATATAACAAGTGCTTAACTTATAACTAAGAAATATACAAAATAAGAAGAGAACGTTGTGTTGAAGCAGCACCTTCGAATTCTCCAGTAAGAAGAGATGGTTCGAATCCAGAATAGGTAGGTAACCTATAGGTTACCTTATAACTTAATAGAATACAAACAATACTCCAAAAGTCTAACAAAATAATACTACAAAAGTAATAAAATAGAGTCCGGATTTTCATGTAAAATAAAAAGCTACATACGTACATATAATTAAGTTGAATGTCATAATACAAAAATTTCTATTTTTTTTTCACTTGAAGGTCTTGTGTTCATCTATTTTGCTTTCAGAAAAAATGTCAATGTAATTTTAATATTTACCGTGATCATGATTTATTTTTAAAATGAAAATATGTTAGGATTGCTGTTAGGGCCGGGGCTATTTCAAAATTAAAACACAAACCCTTCCCCGGTGAGTTTTCTCAAAGGTGGGGAAAATTCGAGAAAAATTAAAAGATGGAAAAGTGGAAAATAAAAAGTGTGAAAATGAGACCTGTAAAACGTGAAAAATGCTAACACATCAAAATAATATTAAATAAAATTATTCCATTAATTAAAGATGTTAAGATAAGTAAATAAAGAAAATCCCATTCTAAATGTTCACAATATTTATTGAATTGAAATAAAAAAGATGAAATATATATAAATAGAAGATTTAAAATCATAAAGAAAATACTCAATGAAAAATAAAAAAAAATTGTCCATCAAAATAAAACATATATAAAAATAAACTTCCAATAATAAAGATTAATTTATCCAATAAAAATAAAATTAGTAAATAAAAATAAATTTAGCGAGGAAAAATATTTAACTAAATGTCTATGATAACGGTGAGAGAAGAAAACGAAAAAACGAGCCAAGTTAGAGACTCTGCTTCCAACTTGGTTACCTTCTCGATGTTTAGATGTCAAGTAATCGATGGTGGGAGCGTATCGATATGTGTATCGATCTTGATCGATGACTCAGCTGCGCACAACAGCTGTTATCAAAAAATGGCGCTAGGCTGGTGAGTTGAGGTGAACCTGGAGCAGCGGGTGGGGGTAGTCGTCCACTACGTGGATTCAGTGTCATCAAAGGCTAGATCCAGACTGGCGACCCGGCAGTATTTTGATGTCTTAATCCCCAAGACTGGGTATTACTGCCGGGCTGATGCATATAAATAAGAGATAAACATCGCGAATAATACCCAACATTTAAATACTATATACTTAAAACACTTTTGGGACAATTGTTTCTCAAACATTTACAAAGAAAAGATAAATAAACATTTATAAATCAACATTAAAAAAAGGGATGGTGAGAAAAAATAATAATGCAAACAAAATAAAGATATAAACGTATGCGGCGTTAACAATTGCAGTGTTGCAAAATGTCATTAATGAGTTAGCAGATGGTTCTACCCAAACATGTGCCACGGCTAACTCATTAAAGAAATTCATGACTGTAAATCCTGACAATTTTTCATCCTTATAATTTTAACATTCAACTACTTATCCCTAAATAATTCATTTTAATTTTTTTTAATGAAAAATTGCTACAAAATAATTTCACGATTTATCTTTAAATTATAAAAAATAAAGATTAACTTTCTTTGTTAAACATGAAAGGTAAACGTAATTGATTGATAAAATGTCCGATCTAATATTTTAAATTGAGTTAAGGACAGAGAAAAGCTGAATATGCAGACTTTAAATACTTCTGTAGGATTCCACCTTCTAGAATTGTGGCACTCTTCTTTCAAGCAATGTATAATTATATATTCAAATATGTGACAAAATATGAGAAATATTTAACTATAGAAATCATGATTGTTGATGAAAATAAATAAGTAAAAATGAAATAAAAGAAAGGCGGATAATTAACTAAACGAAATAAAAAAAAATAAGTTCGTTTAAATTGACATTTAAAATTACTTAGCAATTTAATTGACTTGATTATAAGTAAAATAACTCTTAATATATATATATATATTGTAACCATGGAACAGTTGTAATAATTATTGCATATTGAAAATAGGTGAATGTTAATTCTACAATAATATATTGTGATCGCTTCTAGAGTTAATTTCGCAAAGATACTTTTCTTAGAACCCTACCTGATAAATGGCGCCCTACGTGGAGCCATATATTATATTATTGATATAATTACCATTCACCTATTTTCAATATGTAATAATTATTACAACTGTTCCATTGTTACAATATGTATTTGTTTTGTTTTTTTATATTTGATGAAAATATAGAAAAAAATAGTTAATTTAATTATATACCATGTCTTCAAGTATTGAATTGCACTTATAATTTTACCATTTATTTAGGTCATGCAACGTTTTGAGCCTATTGGCTAATTTTCAAGCTATCAAAAGTTTATAACATATCTAACAAATTTCCATATCGCTACTGTTATCGTAAAAGGTGATATGTAACAATTTTCTATGTGTATTCTATTTGTTCAAAAGGTGGCATTTTGTAGTTCGCAACTGCAGTAAGTAGTCTGCTACTGAGGAAAATAGCAAGAGGAAATAAAATATGAAATTATACTAATAAATCATAAAGATATAATCCGTTTTCATGCTTTTCTGTATAAAAACTCAATTTTTGCACTAACAATGGCTACTTAATATAATTTGTATTGCCATTTATTTTCATTCCGATAAACCCGACATTGTTCTCTTTGTATTGTCCAAACGGGCTGTAAATAATTGTATAAGTACATTAAGCGCCCTTGAAAAGCATACTGCTGAAGAGCAGCTAAATATGTTAGGCAATTTCATATGAAATGTCCGTTTTTATTATTTCAGAAATTCAAAGTGGGATTTGTGGACTTTTGTTGTTTACTACATTTATAATGAGCCATTATTATCATCTCTTTTATGATAATATTTCCTATCATTCCAATGGATTGCACATTGTTCAGTATGCCAATGAATATGACCATGGAATTACGCGATTTTCAAGTAATATTTTTTATGAGTGGAAACTGGGACACGACAGCCCAAGCTGTAATAAACATTACGGGAGAAGTGTGTTGTAACGAACTGACCATTCACCGGTGATTTGAAAAAAAAAAATCTGTAGTCAATCCCTTTTTTTTTTTTTTTTTTTTTTAATGAATAATAATACAATCAGCCACTGCTGGAGGGCTATAAGTATTAGGGCTAAGAGTTCTCATTCAAACAATATATACAAATAATAGAGAAATAAATATAAATATAAAAAGTAAATAAATAATACTGATGAAGAAAGTAAATAAAAGAAAAAAAAAAGTAAACAATAACATAAAATAGAACTTCTAAACACAATCATACCTATATACAATATATACATTCGCCCAGGAATCTCCGAGCCAGGCTTTTTCCCCCACATGTGGAAGGCAAAGCAAGACTCCAGGAGATCCCAGTGCCACTTTTCCAGCCACATCTCTAGTATTAGAAGCCAGTGGAGACTGAAAGAGGGCACTAGAGCCACAGACGCTCGGGACATGGTGGTCAATCCCAGGAATAATCCATTCCTCATATCACATCGACATCTTACTGCAGTTGTATTGACATAAAGGATCAAAAACAACCTGTATTGGTTTCACAGACAATGAAGAAACTAAACGAGCTGTGTTACCAAGTCCTTCCACACAAACCTTATTCGCCATACTTATCTCCAACAGATTTCCATCTGTTCGGAAATTCGGACAACTTCCGTAAGAGTAAAATTTTTGAAAATGATTCTTAGGTCAAAAAGGTATTTTTTTGACTTCATTTCTTTACAAAACCCTGAATTTTTCATTTTCAGATTGAAAACTTTACAACAAGTTGAGAAAAAGAGAATAAATATTTTGAATTTATAATGTCTTTTTTTTCTCTCGTCGACCCTAAACTTCCATTGAAGTTTCCTATACTGCGAATTCATAAAGTTGTTTTACTAACAAACCTTTCCCGTGAAATCTGATGTTTCATATGGAACGACCCAATAATTAATTGAATATCAATGGAGGGACGCTATGTATAAGAAAATAGATCCACATCTGTAAATCAAACATGGGCTCACTGCAGAACCTAGCAGCTTCATTCCTTTTGATTAGCCGATAAAAGAAACCGCAAAATTTTAATGGGCCATAACTCAAACAGGAGTATAAAATATTTGAATAAATTTGACGAAATAAATAGCTAGGATAAAGAAAAATGCAGTGAAGAAGGAAAAGGAGGTTGACTCGCGAGAGCTATGAACTAATATAAAAAATGCGACTAGAGAATTGAGGACAATTTATTATAGCCTCAATGAAAGGTTGCCTTAGTCATCCTGAGGCACTTAACATAGCCGCCATCACTCAACCTCCCCCCCCCCTCTCCTGCTTTCCGATCCTCCGGCTTAACATGCTCCAAATATTTTATGCAGCTATCACATTGATATCATGAAAAATTTATAAGAGCATAATTGAACTTGAACACGCTATATTTTTTATTTACTTACTTCTTGGCAAGATAAATGGTAAAAATTAGCCCTTATTTTTAAATTTTACCCTTAATCGTTTTGTTTTCTAGATTTTTACTTTTTATCATTAATATTTTTATTAATTCTTTCTAAGCATACACAGATATATTTATTCACAAGAGGATTTTTATGGTTACATAATTATGGATATCTCTCGAAACATTCCAACAAATAAAGTATGTTTGTGTACTTTCTTAGAAAATATAAGAGGAGTGGAAAACCTGTACCACTACAACCTATGGACGGACTTGTTTGAGCTCAGTGTTTTGCGAGGAATTTTAAAGACCAAAGGTTGCCTCAACCCGCAGGTTTCCCACTTAATTATTGTTTAATTAAGATTATCCACTTTATGGAGGCTGGGTATGCCCAAAGTGGGTCTCCTGGTCCTACCAGGTGATGTTACAGAATAAATAATTACCAGCCACAGCCGGTCTCGAACCCAGGAACTTGAGCATTGGAAG